TCTGTGGAAATGAACAACAAAGGGATTACCCATTCCCTGCTCCATGGACAGATGTGCAAGATGGATATACCCCAAAAGGAACTCAGATTGTCCATTTCTGAATTCCACTGTCTTGCATAGGACCTGACACATAGCAGATGATTAATAAGAATTTAATGAATACGTGAACATGTTCTATAGCAAAAAACATGAAAACATATTAATCTGAGATTATGGGTAAGGCAGAAACTCATATCCTTGTTCATTAAAGCAACATATTAATATTCCATGGGCATCCCATATTTTAAGTAGAAAGCAAGGAAAATGTTTGTATTTTTTCAAATGGCAACACAAATGACAACTAAAATATAGCCTTTTATTGTCACCAATATGATGTGCTTCAAAAATTGAAGGTACAACTGCATTCACATCTCTTCAGACATTTCACAGAAGTGCTTTTGTATCTGAATGTTCTGTTAGCAGAAATGCTTCTCCCATCTCACATTGGCTGAGGAGTTCCAGGCTTACACGATGAAGTGGGATCCTGTTCTGAGAGCCAGGCTAGGAAGGAACTGGGTCTGATCAATCTCTTGCTACTGGGGCTTCTCATGGGATACGGGTGTTCTGTTGAAGGGGGTTCTTTAGAGTGCCAAGAAGCTTGTAGCCTCAATGGTGAGCTCCTTGGTGGTCCAGGTGTCTGCATAGGGCTTGGGGTCCCTGCCTCAGGACTTCCGATGATCACTTTTTAGGTGACATTCACGTGTTCAGCCATTGCTATTCAGAGCACGACCTTTGTGACAAGTTAGATGGATCCACAGAACTTTCCAGCTCGTAATGTGACCAAGCCAACCCTTCTACTCATGAATCCTTGGGCCATTGTGAACATCCAGAGTCACCATCCTCGAGTCCAGCTTTCCTCAAGCTACTTTTATTTCCAGGAAAGGGTGGTGCCTTAGCCATTCAATATGTTAACACCTCTTTGGTTGGGGAAAGTCTGTCCCAGTCGAGTGGGTCTCCCCACTTCCAAACTCCAGAGAGACTCATCAGTGCCTTGGCTGTGTGCTCCCAGGGGTTATACTTCCCCTGTGTGGATTGTTTTACTTGTACTCTTGCGACAAGGGTTTCCAAGGAAACTAGCAGCTTTGGTGGAATCACAGAAGGGCATGTCATACCTCTCTAAGCTTGACAATGAGTGTTCCCTGGTCCTACCAGCCAGAAAACACTTAAGTGAAATGGTAAGTCCCTCTGGTCACTCTCTAGAGAAACAGTGCACCCTGGGATCATGACCTGAACCGAAGGTAGATGCTTAACCTACTGAGCCACCCAGGTGCCCTCCCACCCCTTTCTAAAAGATTTTATTTATTAGAGACTGAGCAAGAGAGCGAGAGAGAGAGAGAGAGAGAGAGAGAGCAAGAAAGGAAGTCCTGTGTTAAATTATAGGAAAGCCAAGGTCCTGACCTTGAGTTGCTCTTAATCTAACTTGGCTTTTCCACTTCTATGAGCTCCAACATGTTGGAGGATTCTCACATTGGAATATGGGCTCCATTTGAAGAAATTCAGTGACAGCTTCTCAGCATCTTTGGCCAACACTCCACATCTCACCCGGCTGTCTCCAGGCCTGAAGGGCTGGAAGGAGTCTCCCAGAGTTTTGACTGTTGAGTACAAACCTGATCCTCCGGGGAGCTCCTATGTGCAGGCAGAGCCATTGCCATGTTCTTGGAATTGGAGTGGGATTCATTCCACAAATAAATGCCCATGAGTGCGTTGCAGGCTTGCACTCTGGGGCAGAGGGTCCATGTCAGATGAACAGCACCTACATTCTGTGATCTACGCTCACAGAGGCCCCTGGGGCTGGTGAAGGCTCCCAGCGGAGGGAAGGTCATCCTCCAGGTTGTAGACATTGAGAGATAATGTAGATATGCAGATTGTTGATATCACTCATTTGTGGGTGGGTGGGGGGGGTAGGGGGAGGGAACTCAGCGGAACCTAAGAGTTTTTTTTTACCCTTGCCTTCTGGCCTGAAATTCCAGATTAAGCTGTTTGGAACTCACTCCTTGATTGGTGGGAGCCATGGAGGAGTCCCTCTGCCTCTGCGCTGTTCTCTTTCCCCTGCTCCTTGCCTCTCCTTTTCTTTTCTATTCCTTCTTCTTTCTTCTCCTCCCTTCTTTCCACTACCTCGTTTGCCCTTAAAGTTCCAGCTGTCCTTTCAGATACTTATGCGTGGTACAACCCTGGCACACACGGAAGCAGACAGATATTTGGGGAGACTCTAGTCTACACCTTCTCCTTGGACCACTTGAGTAGAAATCCAGTTACCAGACAAGTAAAAGCATTCTAAAGAGGTGTGGCTCTTCAGCCCGCAGCTAAGTAAGGGCAGCATCCCGAATATCCCCAAGGTCTTTAAGGGTGGAGAGAGCATGCACATTCCCCAACGCTGGGTGCCCAGTGCCTGGTGCATACAAGGAGGGTGAGCTGGAATAAGTGCTTTCTCCGTGCCAAGGAGGGCTCCATAAAATGAGCCGGAGAGCCAGTACCAGAAATTCCAGGAAGAGGCCTTGCCAAGGAGAAGAAAGTCCCATTTCCTGCAGAATGTCAGGAAGAGGGAGCCAAGATAATGGGCAAGGCATCAGAGTGTGCGTTGTCATTGTCGAGGAAAGAACCCCAGTGGGAACGAAGGAGACAGGCACCGTCTCAGTGATGCCTACAGTCCCAGACGGCGGCCGTGATCAGGGAGCCTCCCCTGTAAGAAGACTCCTGTTTTGTGCCCTACTTAATAGTGATAAGAAAATGACACAGGAAGTCCCATAGGGCATAGGAAATGCCTCGTCCTGGGCCTAATGGGGGCACTTTGGGATTTGGTGATCTGTAAATATCATTGAGTCCTATGGTCTAGTTTGTCAGTCTTCTCAAAGTCAAAGGAGTTTAATCTGCTGTAGAAATGTGGCCAGTGGGCAATGCCTGGGTGGCTAAGTCGGTTAAACACCCAGCTCTTGATGTTAGCCCAGGTCATGATCTTGGGGTCATGAGATCGAACCGCAGGTCAGTCTCCGTGGTCAGTGGGGAGTCTGCTCGAGATTGTCTCTCTTTCTCTGACCCTCCCCCTGCTCACATGCATGCTCTCTCTCTCTCTAAAATAAATTTTAAAAAAATCTTTAAAAAAATGTGGCCAGTGGAACTGTATTCAACAGAAAATGCTCAAACTTTTTTCTAAGCATAATTAGAGTCATCCTACTGCATATTGCACACCCAGTATGTGCCTGGTCTTAGGATCTTGATTTATCTTATGCTCCTTATGTCTATACGGATCCCAGGAGGTCAGGGTGGATATGCCCATTTTTCATGTGGAAAGCTTTGGTTACAAGGGGTGATGTCACTTGCCCAAAAAGGCTGGTGATTGAACTGTTGTGCTGGTTGTCCCTCCTGGTACTAGACGGCTCAGTGCTGCTCTGACCTTCAGAGTCTTTACCCCATCCATCCTCTGCCATGGTGTCGGGCTGGCTGATAGATCAACTAGGCCTTGACAGTGATAGAGAGAGGGCTGGTGCAGCAAATAAAAACAGAGAGGCATTTGCACACAAGGATCACTTCTATTTAAAAGCCACGTCACTTTGAATCCAGAGGGTCTAAATAGGCCTGCATTAGCCTGGCAATTCTGTTTCCTTCATGATGAAGTGCAAATTAGAGCAGGCACATCTGAGCAGCCTTGGTAATGACCTGGGATTTTACATGTTTTTCTTCCCTCTGCGGAAGCTACAAGGCAAGTGTTGGCTTGCACGTCACTCTGCACTGGGGGCTGAGAGTGACCCTTTCTTCCTGTTTCCCTGGGATTCTTCAAGCCATCTGAGGACAATGCACACTGCACTTGAGCTGTTTTTCTTTGCTGGTTGCGCTGATTTTTTTCCTGTTATTTTCTGGGCTTTCTTTGCAAACATGCTATTTCATTCTTTCTGTAGTGATTTATAGGGGACCTACATTTTGCTAGGAGATGGGTGCATTTTAGTCAATCACCTGAGACTTCTTGGTTGTTAAATAGATAGATGTGATGATGAAGCCACACGATGCCTCATCACATAACAAATACCAAGACTCCTGCCTCTTTTCCTTTGAACCGTGCTCTCTTCATCTGTAGTAAAATCTTCCTTAGCAGTTTCCCAGAAGGATTAAGGAAAAGAAGCGTACATGAAAGCATGTTGGAAGGTATAAAGTACCACACGGCCGGTCATTTTATGAATAGGTAATCATTGCCTTATATTAGAGAAATATTAGCCTTATTTATTTGAGAATGTTTTTATATTTTCCTTAGGGTGCAGTTCATGTGTTAAGTGGTTCTGAGAAATCCACCTGTTTGCTTTCCATAACTCTGGTCAGCGGATGCAGTCAAGGCTCTCGTCATCATCAGATAGATGTGTCTTCCTGAAGTTGAACTCGACTTACAGACAAAATTTAGGGATTAGGGTGTATATAGAATGCTTTGGAAGATACTAAGTCGAACAAGTTCCTTAGAAAACTTGATGTCTAATGCCATTAGAATCCATTTAACCAAAAACTCAAGACAGAGTGTTTTCCGCATCATACATGTTATGTGAATGACATTTTCGGGAGAGAGATTCTATGGGCACTAGGAAGTCCTTGGAGAAGGAAAATAAGTTTCTATCCTTATTTCCCTGTTCTCTTTCCTCCTGATTTCAGGAGAGGAGGATTATGGAAGGACTCACAGAGGAGGGGACATGTGAGCAGGTGAGCAATTTAGCAGACACCAATTTCTAGCTGAGGAGCACTACATGACAAGATCAGATCGTGTGGTGTGTAAGGGATCCATAAGTTTCTTCCAAGATGCCAGCCCCGTTCCCTCAACAGCAGTCTTTATAGGACGGGATGCCATTCTTCTATGGTTTTAATCTTTGGACACCACAGTGCATTTGGGGGCCATGACCTTCCTTGAGCTGGACTGACAGCAGAGGAGGCTGCAGGGACAGGGCAGGCCTGGAGTTCATGGGCACCTACTGGTTCTTGTTTTGCAGACAGCAGCAACCTGCACTCAGCCTGCACCCATGAGAACGCCGTGCACAGCCGGGTCTTTCAGATCTTATACAGGAACGAAGAGGTCCCCATAAATGACGCCGTCATCTTCCGGGCTCATTTGCTCTTAGATGGAGAAAGGGTAAGTCATGCAATCTGCTACCAGCCACAGGTGCTTTTGTATCTGTTGCTGGGTAAATGGTAAGTGAAGGAGAAGCCAGAGATTTGCTCTAAAGCCCGGCAGGGATTCATGACTTTAGAGAACCCACGCACTTACTTATTTATTCTTTTTTGTACTCATTCTTTCATTCATGTGCTTCCCCCTGCCATGTTCCGAGCAGTTTCCATTAGCTACCTGACTGATGCTTTTATTCCTTCTTCATGTACCCGTTTGCTCCTCAGTTCTGGGGCTCCATCAAGCAGTCAGTCAGCAGACACCTACTGGGTATTTGCTTTGTGCAAGGCTCTGTGTTGGGCCCTTGGGTGGGGGACAGAGCTGCAGAAGGAGGCAGGAACTCTACCCTCGAGGGATTGGGAATTCAGCAGGAACACAGGTATAGAAAGCACCCCCTGGTGGGTGACGTGCACGGTGCTGGCTGCATTTACAAATAAACAAAGGGCCCCAAGGATGGAGAGATGAGCTCTGTGCGGGACATCGATGGTTCCACCAAGGAGCTGGCTTTGAGACACACCAACTCAGAGTCGCTCAGATGAAGAGAAATAGAAATGGCACCCTATGCATGAGGAAAAGCCCATAAACCTTGGGGACCTCATTCCATTTGTGGGAAACCTGATCAAAAATTCTCTTTTTCCTCAGATGAACACATTTCAAAGGAATATCTGAAGTCTAGGCCTTGCTCACACTTGTCCAGTCCCACCTCCAATCCCCATCACCACAGCCCGGCTGCTCATTTCCTGCTAGAATACCTTCAACGATGTGGAAGTGTATTCCCATTTTAGGAAAGTCAGATTAGAGGCAGGTCCCCCACTCCCATTCCCTGAGTGGTGCGTGGAACGGCTCCCGCTGGCCAGGTGACTTCTTCCTCTTCTCGTGCCTCGTGGCTTTCCCTCCACGTCTTTCATGGTCTAGGTGGTAACCAGGTTCCACTGTGTGGCTGGAAGTGAAGAACTCATTCTTCATTCATCAATCCGTCCATCCATCAGAGATTTATTGAGTACTGACTAGCACCTGCTATGGGCTAAAGATAGAACAAAAAAATATCCCTGGTGTCTTGGAGCTTATATTTTACCATTAGATCAGTACATCACAGGGAAGTCAAATAAACAAATCCTGTACATCCTACCCTTGAGCCTCGCACTGCTAATGCTCAGCTTACTCGTCTATAAGATGCGCCCACAAGGGCGCAAGAGTGGGAGCTGGTACCCGCCACCCCTGTTGGAGGTCCTGTGAGGCTACCTCGACCTGACATGGAAGAGAACGCATGGCAGGCCCACTCGGCAAGACCTCGGCTGCTTCATGAATGCCCAGAGCTCAGCTCCTAGACAACCTTCTCACCGGATGGAGCTTATTCCCTGGAAGACAAGGGACAGGCAGGAGAGGCCTCCCTGAGAAGTCAACATCGAGCTGAGACCCCAATGCCGAGGAGCCAGGCATGCCAGGAGCTCAGGGAGACAGCATCCGTGGGGGAGGGCACAGCAAGGACTAAGGCCCTGAGGTGGGAATGAGGTTGATGTGTCCCAGCAAAAGCGATAAACCTAAGGTGACTTGCACAGTGAGTGGAGGGAAGGAGCAGGAGGTGAAGCTGGAGAGGTAGGTGGGGCCAGACTTGTGTTGCAGGCCACGGGAGGGAAGGCAGAGATTATTCTTGGGTGATAGGGAGCCATTGATTTGGTCAGAAAGGTGGAAGGGCACAATTTTGCCCCTCACCCCCACCCAGTCTGTGAGCTTCTCAGCGCTGGGGTCTCCTCTGTCTATGTTTGCAACACCAACGCCTGCCAAGGTACTCCGCTGGAGACCCCCGGCTAGTGTGAGCAGATGACTTCGTTGACAAAGGAACAAACTGAATTTTGAAGCTGCAGCCCTTTCAGGGACTTTGTAACCCCTCTCTTTCCAAACAGAAATGAATATCCCCAGTGTGCTAGCCTCCAGTTACCCTGAGCCCCGTCTTCCTTGTGCCATCACAGTGACCGTGAACACTTTATCTGTAATTGAAATCGAACAGACCCGAACGGCTGCTATGAGCTGTGCCCACTGTCTCCTGATGGCTGGCGCATCGCCCCCCTCTCTACCTTCCCCCACCTGCTTTGGACCCCGTTGCTGATTGCAGGCATGGCTCAATAGTATCCATACCTCAGTAGTATCCTTACTGTACCTTACCTGGGTTCGGCTTGTGAGAGGCGTAGCGGTGATTGAAGGAAGGGAGGAGAGTGGAGCCAGAGTATTCACTCCCCAGGCTCCTTCCATGCTGGCTCAGGGAGGGCTGCTTGTCCAGTGTGCCGGAGCCTGGCTTGTGAGAGCCAAAGGGACATGTCTCTTTCCACCTCCCCATTCAGCGATGTCACATGGGTAGCTGGAAATCAGCTGTGGTGGAAATATTTGCACCAGAGAAATCGGCAGTGCTGCAAATCAGAGTTTTCAATTTTCCTTCTGAGAGCCGCTTGTTAAGCCACAGTCTCAGCTCAGGTGAGGGGGCCACTCCACGTAGCTTTCTCTCCAGTTCTGATAACCATTCCCTCAGCCTTTGTTTCCTGGTCCAGGGTGGCCTGGACATCCTGCGGTGACCAGCCCTGATGCGTGGCCCTCATCTGTGGCTTTCCATAAACCCTCCCCTCACCCTTGTGAATCATCCCTTTCCCGAACTGCACACATTCTTCATTTTGAGTGCATCATCTGCTTCCTTCTTGGGCCCAGTTTAGGAAGAGAGCGCTGAGGTTATTTTGAGTGTTAAGGAATTCCAAATTAGGCTGTGCGCTCACACTTGGCTCATCCAGTTGATGGCAAGAGAACATCAGTTTACCTCTCATGGACCATCATCATTTGGCATGTTGGTCTCAGAGCCCTTCCGGGCAGCAGCTGTGTTGGGAGGCTGGGTTTGGACATTGCTCAGGTGTCTTGGTCATCTTTCATCTGAATTTACCACGTGCTCCTGCCCCAGCAGTCTGTAGCCCTTTCCCAACACCCAAGTTCAGCTCATGTGAGGTTGTAACAAGCCTCGGTTTTGAGGTTGAACCTCACAGGAGTCCCTGTGACAATACATATTGCTTCCTCCCTCTACCTAGTCACTCATCTCTACAAGCCAATTGTCACAGTGTTGGGGTAATCCAGACAGCAGCAAACAATGCTACAGTTAATCATTATACCCAAGTCAGTGAGAATTAAAGTTAGTTAGATATGTCCATAAACACTGTATATTGAGAATGGACACGTTAGCTCTTTTCTGGTGCGTATCTGTCTGTGTTTGACAACCAAAACACTGCCTATAGCCACGTGGCCAGGGTTCATGTTCCCGGGTGCACACAGCCCGTCATTGTGAACAACAAATCCATACATGATGGCTACACGTCAAGCATACTGTTGCACATGCTACAGGAAATGCAGACAGGATTGTGTCCGCACTGTGAGGGCACGGGTCAGCAAGACATGACCATGAAGCCATCCCAGCTCAAGGCATAAGATGGGCTTTTTTCATGATGGTTGGGAAGAGTGATTGTGAAAGTAGGATGACTGTTTTATTTACATGCACTCTGTGTAATCACTCAGAGGATTTGGGAAGGCTGACAAAATGCATAGAATAGTAAAAGGAAAAAACAACAGCAACAATAGAGTTAGCCAGAGTACAGGGAAAACACAGAAAGGGGGCGGAAAAGCCTGGAAACTCGGGATGAATGTCATAGACCAAAATACACAAACATGGTGTTGGATGTTGCCAATGGCAGCCGACACATTCAGCACTGAGCTTCCCAGCAGCCTCGGCAAAGATGACAGTTCTTAACAGCAAGATGCTTAGTGCCCTGAGGAGGAAGAGGAGCAGATTACATCAAAAAGTCTTTATCAACAAGGTTACATTTTTATAGGCTTAAAAAAGGAAAGTATTTCTCAAGATGTGATTCTTTGTTGTATCCACACCACAGAACCCTGGCATACTTGTTCAAAATGCAGGTTCTTGTGTGTGTGTGTGTGTTTGTGTATGTGTGTGTGTGTGTGTGTGTGTCAGCTTTATTTATCCTGCAGTCATTTATATGAGCAGATCCCTTAAGCATAGAAGAGTAAAGAAGAAAGAATTACAATAAAAACATAATTCAGTACATTAATAACCAAACCCAGGGTTCATATGTGGCCCTTTATTAAGTCTTTCATGTAGTGATCCTTCGGTGGTCATATCTTACTAGGGAGTGAAGGTCAGTGGAAGATCTCCCAACATTAGATTGAGCTCATTGCTTTCTTAATACTGATATGTATCTGCTTTATTTGAAATGAAGATTTTTTTTTTTTATTATGTTAGTCACCATACAGTACAGCAATTGCACTGCTGGGTATTTACCCCAAAGACACAGATGTAGTGAAAAGAAGGGGCACATGCACCCCAGTGTTCGTAGCAGCAATGTCCGCAATAGCTGGCCAGACTGTGGAAGGAGCCAAGATGTCTGTCAATCGATGAATGGATAAAGAAGATGTGGTCCATATATACAATGGAATGTTACTCAGCCATCAGAAAGGATGAATAGCCACAATTTGCATCGACATGACTGGAGGGGATTATGCTAAGTGAAATAAGTCAATCAGAGAAAGACAATTATCATTTCATTTCACTCATATATGGACCATAAAGTATAGCATGGAGGACATTAGGGGAAGGAAGGGAAAACTGAAGGGGGTGGAAATTAGAGGGGGAGACAAACCAAGAGAGACTATGGACTCTGGGAAATAAACTGAGAGTTTCAGAGGGGACGGGGGTGGGGGCATGGGGGGATGGGTTAGCCCGGTGATTAAGGAGGCCACGTGTTATAATGAGCACTGGGGGTTATACACAAATAATGAATCATGGAACACTACATCAAAAACTGATGATGTACAGCATGGTGACTAAAAAATGTGGATTCTTGAGCCCATCCCAGACATAGTGAGCCAGGCAGAGGGAGTTGATTCAGAGTTTTGAGTTTTTACAGAATGCATGGAATTTCCACAGGAGGCTGTGATGAGCTTTCAAGAGCAAGGATAGCGTGTTGAGGGCAGGGAAAAGCAGTGACATAGATGGCAGATCTGGGGAAGAAAGCTTCGCTTGCAACGGGGGAGGAGGCGGCATGGGGCAAGGGGCACAGTGCTGGACAGGAGAGTTAAGACTCAACACGCAGTCCCGGGCATGCCCTGCTAAACACCACATGCTTACCTGTTCTGAAAGAAGGAGGTGCCCTCAGGAGTCAGGAGGAGGAGAGCTGGGATTTGGCAAGGTCCATCTGGCAGAAATATGGGAAGTGGGGCCCAAAGCTCCAGAGCATGGAGGGAGTGCTCTGGTCCATGTGAGTGCTGGTGAGCGCCGTGGCGAAGGCAGCCGCAGTGGGCTGGGTGGAAAGAGTGACCTGGGCTCAGGTTAAGCATAGGGGATGCAGCACGTCCTGTAGTCAAGAAAATTCAGTGGGAGTTGACTATATGGTTTGGCCATGAAATGGGCTTGGGGTCCACTGACAGCCCAGGGTAGTTAGGAGAAGACACATTTCTTTTCGGGGAGTGATAGGAATTGAGGTTGAGTTAGGATAACACCCACATGATCTTAACACGAATAGCACCTTGTATTTATTAGGTGTGTGTTGTGTGGCAGGCGTTGTGCTGAGTGCTTTTCTTGGGAGATCTCATTGAATCATCACTCCAGTGCTGTGATGTGTATTACAGATGAGGATACAGAGATGTGGAGAAAGAGGTAAGCAATTTGTGCAAAGTCATGCTGCTAGGAAGTGGTAGAGCTGAGATTTGAACCCAGGCAGTCTGGCCAGGACACCTGTGTTTATGAGCAGTATGCAGGCCCGGTATGTGGAGTCGGTGCACGGAGGGTCCTTTTGGGGTGGGCCCACAGGAATTTAGAAATAACAACAATAACGTATTTGTTGAGAATTGTCTTTGTTCATACACTGTGTTCAGCCCTTTATGTGTATATTCTTAGTCACACAATAGCAGTGCTCTCTAAGGAATAAGGGTAACATTTTACCCTTGTCTTCCAGATGAGAAAACCAAGTTAGAGAGGTTGATTGGCCCAGGGTAGAGCCAAGAATGGCACCCATGTAGAATGTTTTCCAATGTTCCCTTTCCTACTCAGCTGTGATGTAGCTCAGGAGAGAAGCTAAGAATGGAGGGGAAGAAGTGAGAGTCACCATTATGAGGGGTGTTGAAACCAACCAGGGAGAGAATGCACAACCCAACACGCAAAAAGGCCAACGAAGCAGATGAACCCTTGGCCGAATCTAGGCTGTGGGATTCACTCACCAGTTGACCTTGGGAAAGTTGAATTGGGAACTTGCTACTACCCTGAGCCTGTGTCCTCATTTGTGAATGGGGACAATATTTCTGAATTCACAGTCTTCTCCACATGAAATAAGATAGAATGGGCAGTGGACTGCTACCCAGGAGCTCCTCTGCAAATCCAGTTACTGTTACTACGTCCAGGGCTACACTACATGGCTTCCTGGTGTTAAACATTGACTCTGAAAAGGAGGTGATGTCTTTAACCAAGTAGGACAGAGCAATGGAAGAGCATGTGTACAAGTGTGTATGCACATGTGCATGTGCAAATGTGTGCATGTGTGTGTACCCTTCTGCACATGCCAATGTACGAGTGTGTGTGTGTGTGTGTGTGTGTGTGTGTGTGTGTGTGTGTTGGGAGGGAGGGGAAGGCAGCCAACAGCCAATGGTGAAATCAGTGGTTAAAGAAGCCAGTGACTTCATTCTGGAGCCTTTTGGAATTAAATTATTGAGACATCACTAAAGTCATAGCCAGGCTCAATCTAGCCACAGCTCATCCTGGCCCAGGATTCCTCTCCTGGTTCCAAAGGATTTGCAGCAAAGTTTAAAACTGGAGCGTACAGTGAATTTTTGCTAGCCAGCATGCTCAGGAGGTGGTTAGGCGGGCTTGCTTTGCCAATCTCACTTCCTAGGAACGGGTGGCAAGAGGCTCCGTTGCTTGGGTTGTGTGTGTACGAAGCAAGGTTTGTGATTATGCAAAACAAAGCTAGAAGCGGAAGTTATTCATAGCACTTGGATCCAGCAAAATGTTAACTTTTAAATGCTTTTTTCTTTTTCGAACAAATTTTAAAACCCTGGGGACCTAAAGATAAATTCCATCCATATGTCTCTGCCTGAGTTATGCTTAACCAGGAACGTGTTTCCAGAGATGCTTTTGGGTAAGAGATTTCCACCCCTGGGGGCTGAGGACATTTTGCAAAGAAACAAAACCCAAAAGGAGTGGGGGTGGTGAAGAGCTCTATTTATTCCTCAGGAGACATGAATACTTTCTATGTGGCAGGCTCTATTCTGGGAGCTGGAGATCCAGAATGAATTAAGACTACTCTCTCCCTTAATGGTGACTGATTACTGTGGACCCAAGGCAAGAAAATGGTCAGGGGGTTTTAGCCACAGGCCAAATGGCGAATGTCAGTGAACTCTGGGAGCCTGATCCAAACAAAGCTTCTAGATGGCAGCCCTGTGTTGCCAGATCCAGGGATTTTTTTTTTTTTTTTAATAGAAGCTGGAAACTTGCAATAGAAATGTGAAGTTGCCTGATTTTTGAACGTTTGGGGTTTGTGAGTTGCAACTTGCAGCTTTGTGTGGACTGAACAAAATGTGTCTGCAGATAACAATTTGGCTCACTGGCTTCTAGGTTAGGAACCTGAAACAATTATAATAGGAAGCATTGAATGCTGAGACAGAAATTAGAAACCAGGGTTTTGTGGGTTGCAGGGAAGAAGGGCTCCGGTCAGCCTGGGCGTGGGGAGGAGCTCGAGTCCTGGCCCAGGAGCATATAGTGCTTTCCTAGGTTTCTCCACTGAGCAGGGGAGGCAGTGGGATCTGGTATTCCGCCAGCAACCTTCCTGCAGGTGGGGGTATGGAGTTCAGTGTGGGAAAAGAACAACGGGGCGGGGGGATGCTATCTTTTAGATATGTGTGGGAAGCTGGCAGGTGAAACAAATAGATTCCTTTGCGAATTGATGAAAACAGGAAAGTTAACGAATGAAAGCAGCTGTGGATAGGACAGGAAATGCCAAAGTGTCTCGAAGTGTAAATGGTTGAATGTAACAGACCTCAAGACAAAAGTGAAAGATCTGCTTTCTTAGGGAGCTGAGCCACCTTGGGGAGTGACTTCACTTTCCTGAGCGTCAGCAGCCTCCCCTGACACCCGGAGAGTGGTGCCCACCAGGCAGGCGTGCCTGAGGGCAGAGAGCATGTCACCTCCAGCATCGTCCCATCACTAGCCAACTGGGGTTTCCCGTGGCCAAGTTCACAGCTCCCCCTTCCTGGAGCAGGTGCCACGGAACACTTCCCTCCTGCCTAAAAGGATTCCAGATCAAATCTGTTGGGGGAAATGTGGTTCTCAAAAGTCCTGTGATATAGCAACCTTATTTAACATTTTTTTTTTTTTTTGGCACATTGGCTTTTTCCCCACGTTTGACTACATAAATCTCTTCCTTCTGTTTTCCTGGTAATACCCACAGATCTCCCCTTCAACCGGAATTCCATGGAACGTGCATGGGAATTCCGCTTCTCGAATAAAGGACATTAGCCTTGTGGCGAGATGCTTTTCCTAAACTTTGAGAAATAGACCAGCCACATTTTTGATTTGGGCCAGATTGACCCCTAAATCCCTCGCACTGTGTTTCTCTCGCAGGTGGAAGAAGCACTAAGTGAAGTCGATTTTCAGCTCAAGGTGGATCTGCACTTTACCGACAGTGAACAGCAGTGAGTGTCCCTGACGTCTCCGAATCGTGGTCCTATGACTTCCTTCTTCCAACCCTTACCCGCCCCCCAGGGCAGCTCATGGCCGTGAACCTCAGAACATTGCTCAAAAGCCCGGTTCTTGAGCAGCTGCAGTGCCCTCCATTGCCACAGCCCACCAAGCCATGGGGCTGGACGTGTCCACGTGGTCACTGCAGACAGCATGCGCTTTAGAGAGGGCACGCACGTGCTGTGTGCATGGAAAACAACCTGCCTGCTTGCCTTCATTATCCGGCACCTTCTCATCCCTGACACCTCGATTCATTTTTTTCAGTGCAGTATTATTTTCATTAGGTCTTTAAATTAATGACCCTATGAAGTGGCAGGTCTCAAGGCTCTTCCTGAATCCAAGGAGATGCGGCCAGGATTCTGCATCTTTGTACTAAATGCCCGCTATTATGTTTCAACTCTGAAAATTGAAAATCCATTTATGTGTCACCTGTGGATTACACAAGCGGGAGACAGTTGCTCTTCTTTCCCGTAACTGCTTCCTCTCAGCCTGTTCTGGGGCCTCCTCTCCTCCTCCAGGCAAGCTGTCAGCCACAGGTTCTACCAGGTCAGAAAAGGATAGCCTCTGTTTCAGGGGTCATAAGTCCAGTCAAGGATATTAGTAAAACTGCCACCTCTCATCCAGTTTATGACCTCTTCTTTGCCCCTGTCTCCGCCTGCACCCACCACCCCCAGCGCCAGGCTAGCTCAGCTCAGGAAGCTCCCTGTGCAGGTGCGGGGCGGTGGGCAGCTTCATATTTGTTCCTGCCTTCTTCCCCACTGGGGTGTGTGGACCTTGCAGGGTCAGGCATGGTAAGGAGGGAGGAGATTGCGGGGTGGGGGGCAGGGGTCATGAAGGGCAGATTTAGTTGCAAGCAGCTTCATGCAGTGGAGGCTGAATTACTGGGTCCTTTGTTCTTGGGGTGTCCCTATACATTCCTTGGGGATCTACCCATTAATTAGGCAAGCTTCCTCACACCCTCCCCCCCCACCCCTCCACCACCAACCCTGCAGTTCTCTGATACAGCGATGCTTCCTGTGGCTGGCTCGTCCACTTCTTGCAGGAAGCTCTTTTGGCATATTCTTCTCCAAAGAACCCACATCTGGTCCTTGGGAAATGAACAAAGGCACTTGACTCCCTCCCTGGTGGGGCCTTCCTCCCCCTGCAATCCTCCTCACTCCTCCTTGGGCCAATGCCGCCACCCTCAGCTTCTCTCCTGAGGACTTCTGCAGGATGAGTCAGGCACAAGGACCTATGTTCTCTCAATTCTAAGGGACTTGATCAAGTTCACTTGAGGATCCCTCTCGTGAGGCTTACAGTTATGGAGGAGACACTCCTTTTCCCTCTGTTCTGTTAGCAGATTCTCAGAATTATTCTGACCACTCTCCGCAAATTAATCTGCCCTTCTGGTGTCTACAACCCCTTCAGCAGATACTTCATGTTCTTCTATGGGTAATGGAGAACCGGGTGGCCAATGGTCCGATGCTGGCGGAAAAATCCTCCAATCCCCCATTCCCTTCATCCCTACAACGTTCAGACTCCCTGTTGGAACTTTCTCCCCTTTCTCAAGGACTTTCTCATCCCTGAGACTGATCTGGTTGTTATGGGAGTTTCCGTAACATGAGGAGTTGAAGCAGATGGGATTCTCTGAGATGTTGGTGACCTGATGTGTCTGCACCTTGAGAATTGACATCTGCTGATGTGCAAATGGTCATGTCTAGTGTCTGGGGCGACAGGAGTATCTGTCCATGGTCTTGCCATGGGGTCTGGGCTCAAAATCACAGATTCTTCATTCTTGTCTGGACCCAAGCCCCACCGGCCACATGCTTCCCTCATCCCTGCTGCTCACTCCTTCGTGGGATGGTGGATGCTTGGGAAATCTTATTCTTCTCCCACCATCCCCACAGTTTGTTGTTCTAGCACCATATTGAACACAGAGCCCCTGCGGGAGGCTGGCTTTCTTCCTCACCTAGAAACTCGGAAGCGAATCTCCTGCCTCTGGTCTCATATGCCCCTCAACCATCTGTGATTTCTACCATTCACCCATCTCATTAACCCACCTGCCTTCTCTTCCTGCACCTGCTTCCTTCAGAGACATTCATCCGTTACTCCGTGGGAGACATTTCTAAGTCATCAACGAACCCTACACCTCAGCCTAGGAGTTCTCCATCCATTCCACCAGGCAGCCTGAATGATAGTCATGGTCAACCCAGAAAATGAGACCATCTGGCCGTCAAAACAGTGGTTGACGGAGATGAGCCCAAAGTGCATGAAATTCAGCAGCTCAGGCTCTGTGCTCATCAACCACGAGATGTTGGTCAAGTCCCAGAACATTCCTACATCTCAGCAGCCTCATTTATAAAATGGACATTATTATACAATTGGGGCCCCATAAGTCTGTTATGAAGATTAACAGAGACAATATCTCAAGTGTGTGGCCTGCCGAATCAATGTCTTCTTCCTCTTTGTGGCTTCCTAGATGCACATGGGGCCAGGCTTCCCTGTGTCCCTTCCTCTCTATAACACAGAGCACTTAATCACAACCAGAGCAGGGGGCATCATGAGTGTAAGATTAGCTAAGAGGAACAGGAAACCAGACGCTGGGGAAGAGTTTATAATGCCATATTTTTTCATTTTCATAAATTGGGTTTAAGGATGATACACTGTCTGTAGCACATCCTGGGGATACACATTAGGCTCTGAAACATAACCCAGGCAGAGGCTTCTTTAGAAGCACATAGGCCAGGGTGGAGACCAACCAGAGAAGCACGGTGTAGAATATCGGGGATTTCAAAAGGTCTCTTGACACCCATCTCCTCCAGTGGTTTTCACTGTGGGTGGGGCGATTCTGTCCCCCAGGGACATTTGGGCCACATCTGGAGACATTTTTGATTGTTACGCAGGGGATGCTGCTACTTGCATGTAATGGGTAGAGTCTCTGAATGCCGAGAAACATTCTACAGTGCACAGGACAGAACCCCCTCCCCGACAAAGCCTTCTCCCATCCCCAAAGTCAAGATCACCATGCTCTAGTCTACCCTCCGCTTGCACCTGCTACGTTGCAAAGGCCCACGAGCATATGCCTGCACAGAGATAGGGAGCTCACTCCTTCCCATCAGATCCCATTCTGCCCCTGGGCAGTTCTGCCTACGAGGAAATTCTTCTTTATTTAAGGAACAAGTCCTTTCTGTGTGCCTTCCTTCGGTTGCCCTGGATTTTAGTCCTTGCAACCACTTAGAAAAATTCTCAGGATGACCCTTTAAAATCAGATAAACAAGACTCTTCAATAAAATGAGCTCTTCATCTCCAATTAAACATCAGGGCTCTTTCTCTGTGTTTTTTGTTTTTTTTTTTTTTTTATTTATTTTTTTTTTTTTTTTTAGTTCCTTTATAGAAATGCAGACATTCTCCTCTCGTTGCCCTCTCGGGTTTACCTCCACCCTTTCTAAACTGAGACCCCCACCAACTGAGTTTTATCTCCATTGATTGGCTCTATCCACTTTAGAGCACAAAACAGCTTTTACCTCCTTTATTCTGAGGTCTTTACTCCTATTAGTGTGGCTTAAATTCTTCTTCACATTTTTGACACCTTTGCTACCCTGACGTGTTCTTCACCTCCTGTCGTTCTAGCCTAAGAACATTTCTGTGATTCCTACAAGCCTGTGAGCGAATGGATTCCAGTAGAGTCCAGTACTGCAGAATGGACTGCGTGGTCAGATAAACGTGGGTCTAGCATTCGGTTTTCTCCTGTGACTTTGAACAAGTCAGTTAACTCATGCTAGCTTTACTTCCTTGTCTGTAAATGGAATAATACTAGGAAAGACCTCATATGATTGTCTTACGGATTAAGGGAAAAAGCACTGGATCCAGTTCATAGTAAGGCCTCAGTAAATTGTTTTCAGAATTAAAATGACTATAAATGTTAGTGACTTTCTGAGGCTCAGGAGGTATACTCCTAGCCCCTTCCCCATCAGGCTTCTCCTGGGGAAGAGAGGAGGCCCTGTTTGTGGTCTGTTTGTGGAGTCACACTGGGCTTCGATGCTTTATATGCTTGGCTTTCATTTGCACACAAGGATTGCAGGAAGCAGAGCCCGTTGGGCTGGGTCTTGGGAATTCGCTCACTTTGCTCTCTCTGTGTCTCATTTCCCCATCTATGGAGGAAGGGGCAGTTTGTCCTCTGTTTTCTGAGGGAAGATGCCCCACCCCGGCTACCCAAGTGCTCTGATTCAGAGACACTTGGAACACCTGAGTGATTGATTTCCAGAGCTTGAGATTAGCACTGGAGGAGTTTTATTTAGAGAAGAATCAACCCTATTTTTATCACCAGAGGCTCTGTTGGACCTTGCCTACCAGCCAGTTCATCTCTTGGGAATCAGACATGCGCCAATGACAAAATACTAGAACAAAGGTAGAGGAATCCTTGATGAAAGTGGTCAGACTAGGGGCACCTGGGTGGCTCAGTCGTTAAGCGTCTGCCTTCAGCTCAGGTCATGATCCCAGGGTCCTGGGATCGAGCCCCACATCAGGCTCTCTGCTCGGCGGGGAGTCTGCTTCTCCCTCTCCCTCTGCCTGCCGCTCTGCCTACCTGTGCTCTCTCTCTCTCTCTCTGTCAAATAAATAAATAAAATCTTAAAAAAAAAAAAAAAGAAAGTGGTCAGACTATTTAACCGATATGCTTCGGGACTCATTTGGTCAGACAGTTATTCTTTTTAATAAAGCAAACATTGGGGCAGCTTCTATAGTATGCCCGATAAGATGTTAGGTGTTGGGGATAGAACTGTGAATTAGTCACATTTCTTGGCCTTAGGAGGTAGAGATGTAGTAGAGAGCGAAGACCTACAAAGGAAGTGCTTTCCTGCATGTGGGGGGAGGGAGTGGAGCAGTGGGGGAGGGCGAGGGGCAGTGAGGGGGAGGGTGAGGAGCAGGTGGGTGGGCGAGGAGCAGTGGGGGGAGGGAGTGGAGCAGTGGGGGAGGGAGCCCAGGGAGCCCAGGAGGGCTTCAGTGTTGAAGTGAGCCCTGAAAAGGGTCCGAGTGTGTCTCCCTCACTGGCCTGACCGGGGGGCTTGGTGCCCATGGCCACAGCGCCTGAGTCCCGGGGGGCTGCCGAGAAATAGCTGTGAGATGCCTCCTGACTTCATTTTCTTCTTGGACACGGAGTTTCTTCGTCTGCCAATCATGGGAGAAATGATTTCTACCAGACAGGGTGATTGTAGGGATTGAATGAGACGCTGTGCACATGGTGGTTGTCCCGGGGTGAGGCTCTCACACAGACCTGCCTGGGTGACAGCAGGGATGGCCTGCCATCACTCACGGGCACTCACTCACTTGCCTTCCAGGCTGCAGGACGTGGCGGGGGCCCCCCTGATCAGCAGCCGCATGCTTGGCCTACACTTCCACCCCCGGAGAGGTCTGCATCACCAGGTCCCCGTCATGTTTGACTATTTCCACCTGTCAGTCATCTCGGTGACTGTCCACGCCGCCCTGGTGGCTCTGCAGCAGCCCTTGATCAGGTAGGAGGCGATGACTATGATCCTGGAGGTGCGGGGGCACCGCTCTGGGTTTCTTGGTATGCTCTGTCCCCGGCACAGCTGAGGAGCATGGGGCTGGCCGGGATTGATGGGAGCAGACCAGAGGAGCGTCTCCCAGGCTGACCGTTGAGGCTCTGGGCCTCCCTCGGGAGCAGGGGGGGAGGTGGGCGGGGACGTGGAGGGGGGCATCAGGAGTCAGGAGTGCACAGGCAGGGACCCAGGGGCTGAAAACCTGCCAACAGTGGCTCAGACCTGGCTACGCTAGAGACGGATCCAACCTGGGCCCCATGCCAGGCTTTGTTTTTTCTAACGGTGCCTTATCTGAGAAGTCCCTGCACGTCCCTGAGACACACAGTCTTCATCTCTAAACCAGGAGCACTCATGTGGCCATGCACAGAAGATTTTAGTGACTCTCAGATGAGGATGTGGCCAGGCCTGGGGCAGGGGCTCTGTCTTCTGCCCTCTCCCAGCTTGCTGTTTGTTCCAAAGCAGGACCCCATGTGTGGCCCTGTGTTCTCCACATCAGTGAAACCCCACGAAGTGCTGAGGTTTCATGAATGCCACAAATGGAAAAACAGAGCTGGTACACTGTGTTTTGTGCCTGGCATGGCCAGACATATGCCAGGTCAGTTCGAAACCTTGCTCATGTATGTGGGCATGAGTTGCTCAAGTGTGCAAAGGGACATTCAGAGAGAGAATCTTGCAGCCTAGAGTTTCAGGATGGAGCTAACTTCCCAGTGTTCCTTTTCAGGACAGCTTCTCAGTGTGGGGAGTTAAAGTGCCTGTGGGAGAGACTCTGGTCCCCACGGTTTATTGTTGGGTAAGGCCCAGGCTCTGATGGGCTGCCAGGGTCAGCGAGTAGGGAAGGAGGAACCTGGCTCCTGACCAGGTGATGTGGCCAGGAAATGCTGTTCCTGGAGGCCTTCACTCAGTCCCTGGGCTCCTCAGCTGAGCTCCATCTGGGCTGTGCTTGCTGATGGGGCTAATTCAGACACTGACCTTGAATGGCAGACGGGATGCCTATGTATCAAATCAACCATAATCCTCAAACTGAGAAGTGTCGCCCAGAGATAAAGTCTCAGTGGGCTAAAGAGCATAGTTTCTGAGAGAAAAGGGGGCACTGCGTAGGGCGGGCCTTGGGCAGCATTGGGTTTTGACCTAGGGAGAGCCCATGGGGGGTTAGCTAAGGGCCCAAGAATGGAGCCAGGGGCACTGGGGGTGGAGGGAGCTGGCATCATGGGCTGTGTGCACTCTGCTGGCGAGTGTGGACATTCTCCTGCCCATCGAGGATTGGGATCCTCCATGGAAACTGGACCTCTGTAAGGGAGACCACGGGACTAGTCGTGGTTCTTTCTCAACGGCTGTACTGAGGGCCTGCTGTCCCGGGAACGGTGTTAGGACACACACAGTATACTAAGGAGACATCGCCATAGACTTTTCCCTCCAGGAGTGCAGAGCGGGATGGAGGGAGCCCGTCTGCACTGATGGCATTGTCATATGGCAGAGGCTGCGCAGTCTGACAGAAACATTGCAGAATCAAAGGAAAGCAGACCTGAATTTGGGAAATTGCAGGAGACATAGAGTCCAGACAGCAGCAGAGGGTATGATGATCCTTCAGAGGATACCGCGTGGCTGTGAGCTCACTCCGAGGCTTGGTGATGAGTGGCCTTGGCACAGACATGAGGACATAGTCTGTCTGCTGTCAGGGATGCAGGGCAGTTGGCCAGTGTCCTGTGAGTGGCCAGCTCTCTACCGCTGAAGGTGAGCCAATAGCCCGGCTGGGAAAAGCAGAGCTCCCTGCAGGCGGTTCTGGGTCCCTGAGACGGAGCTCCTGTGCCTCGGCTGCATCAGGCCCATCCTGATGTCTAGCACTGCCAGGTAATTTCTGGGGGTCCTTGGAGAGGTGTCTAACTTCTCTAGACATTGGTTTCAACATTAAAATAGGGAAGGGAGGGAGGGAGGGAGGAAGAAGGAAGGAAGGAAGGAAGGAACTTAAGAAATGAGCAGTGAGACTCACCCAGCAGAGACGACAGGGGTACAATGAGATGAAGTGCACATTCTGTGTCACACATGGTGCACACGTGCTCCTTTAGTGGTGGGTGTCCTAAGCTTTAGCCATTTCGGGAAAGGCCAAGCCAGGAAGCTCTGGGATGAACAGATCAGATCTGGGACCCTAAAAGGCTTGGAGCCTGGCAGGGCAGAGACGTATTTAAGTATATAACCCTAGTTCAGTGGTGCAAACCATCCTGGGAGCATGATGTAGGATGCGGTCAAAGTGTGGGCTCTGGGGTGTGAGGGATCTGGGTTCTGTTCTGAGCCTCCTGCCGATTAAGCTTGTTAGCTCAAGCAGGTGACTTCAGCTCCCTGGGCTTCTGAGTCCGTGCATGCCGGGAGGTTATTAGGAGGATTAAATGAGATAGTACGCAGAGAACCCTTGGCTCTGCATTCAATGGATTAATATCTTTGCATTGCCTGCCATGTCGCAGGCCCTGCTCTCAGCCTCCTGGCTAGCACCTCACAAGCACGTACTGAATTGAGGAAATTTCAAGCTTGGGGAAGAAGTAGTTCTGCTCAGGGGAAACCAGGACGGGCTTTAGAAAGGAAACAGGCTTTGAGCTGGACCCAGGGGGTAAGAGATCGTGACAGTGAGATATAAATTGGGGAGGGTAAATGTCACATTTAACAGTATAACTAATGGCATGTTACAGAACTGAGAATCTGTTTACTGTCTAAGAAGGAGGCATGGGAGATGTTCAGCAAGAGCATCACTTGATTAGACCCGTTTTGTGAAGAGCCCTCCCGTGGCCAGAATGGGCTGGGCTGGAAGTGACGTCAGGGTAGAGGTAGGAGGACCAGCTAGGGTCCCGTTAGGAGATTAAGTGTTCACACTGAGAAGCAGGTGTCACTCCTCTTGCTACTGGGAACGCTGATACTATCTGACGAGGATTTGGGATCTGGAAACTCCTCGTAGAAAATGTAACCTTCTGATGGAAAGAGCTCCTTGCAAATCAGATGCAGCAGAGAGGAGCATGAATAGACATCCAGCGTCAGAGCCTGGCTTCTCCCGGGATGGGGGTAAAAATAGAACTGTCTTCTGTTCTCTGGATTTTACAGGAAGGATTTCTATTAGTTAGCTCACAGTGGCTGGGAACAGAGGGAACCCTTTAAAATGATGGGAAATACCTGTCAAACAGCGCGAGCTCTAGTTCTTCCAGAAAAGTGAGTTTCACATCATCAGTTAAATCCAATCGGTAAGAAGCAGGTGTGAAACTAAAATTTAACCTCAAAAGACCTTCCGCCTTTCCTGAAACACCCTGAAGAAGAGAATCTGACTTTTCATCCTTAAATGGGGAGAGATGGATTTCACGTGAGGGATTCAGATCCACTGCAAAAGCCAATCAAGCCCACCGTAAAGTAAAATAACCAGTCACTCCCGTTATGCGTTGGTAATCTGTCCCCAAATGTGTCCCGAGCATCGCTACTCACGCACACATTCTGTTTCCCTGCAATGTTCCTTTCATCCGTTTGTAGCTAAACTGTACACTTGCTGAAATTGCAGTTCCAAGCAAATCAGAGTAGTGATTACATTACACTCGATTATATTTGTGGTGTTATCAACAATAGCAATACAAAGACAGTAATGGTTTTGTGAGATTTTATTGTATTTGTGGTATTATTGACAACGGCTAGAGCATTCATGGAATCATTACTTTTTGCCTGACCCCGTACTTACAGCCGTGTTGGGCTGATCTCATGGAATCCTCAGAGCCTCTGGGGAAAGTGCTGGGACCCACCCTTCCCACGTGTCAGCCTTTCAGAGGCACCCAGAGGCTAAAAATGTACCCATGTCACAGAGCTTATGGGTGCTGCCGCTGGGCTCGGAGCCGGGGCAGACCGGCCTCTAACCGCTGGGCCCTTCTCCATGAGGATCACCCCTAACAACGTTCTGAGTTTGCCTTCATCCTGTTACATCTGCCTCCCTCCCTAGACCAAAAGTCTTTGCAGAGAGGGTCATGCCTGCGTCCTCTGGCCCCCAGCCACCTAACACTCTCCCTGCTATGTGGCTTGCACCTAGTACATATTTGCATAAATGAATTAAACAGAAATATGATAGGAGCTTTACTTCCCTCTCAGGATTTTAAGCAGTCACGTGGGACACTTGGACTAAATCATTCCGGGATTGTTTCTTGAGCACCTGCCCTGGAGGGGGCTATGGTTGCACTTTCTACAGAAGAACAAACAGAGGCTTGGGCAGGGGCAGGGTTGAAGGAGCACACCCTGGATTGTGCCCTGAAGGAAGTGGAAGCAGGGCCCACTCCCAGGTGGATGGAGGCCCCGCCCTTCTGGCCTGGGGCCTGTCAGAACTGCCCCTCCAGTGCCATGGCCTTGGAGCTCTGCCTCAGTGTCTCTCGGCAGGCACGTGGTTGGCCTTTAGGGGCATTTCTTTTGTCCACAGAATAGGATGTGTGCCATTTTGCCTTCCAGGATCTCATGCCAGTTGCACCACCTCGTCGGGCCGGCATCCTGGGTGGGGGGCAGACTACTTCTAGATGACTTATCTTGCAGCAGCCCACTCACAGCCCCGAGGGGCTGAGCTCATGATGCCATCACTTTCTTCACACTGTTTGTTTCCTTCTTCAATCCCCCTGCCTTTCAGTTTTACCCGTCCGGGAAGAGGCTCCTGGCTTGGTAAAGGTGGGCCAGACACGGGACCAGAACAATCCAGCCTCTCTCTGGAAAACCTGGTCTTCGGAGCGGGATACTGCAAGCCGACTTCCTCGGAGGTATGGTCTGCACGGGACGTGGCCCCAAGGCCGCCCTCGGTTTTGCAGGGTGTGTGTGTCCCTTCCTGTCACCTGTCCGCCCCTGCCTTTCTGTCAAACATGTTCCTAATGCCAGGCGCTGGAGTAGACGCTGGCCCCGGGGTCCTCATACACGTCTCTTCTGGGCGGTCCCCTGTCGGGGCGTGTTGTGAGGGGCTTCCCCTGGACCACGTGGAAACCTGGAAAGCCCCTTGGCCTTGAACTGTTTTCAAAACTTGGCTCCGTCCCTCACTTGCTCACTTTTCTGAGTCTCAGTTTGCCCCCCTGAAGGGTGAGGTCACGAAAGCGTGACCCTCTTCCGGGGTGGCGTGTGTAGCCATTGCTATAATGAGCGTGAAGTTCCTAGCCCAGTGCTGGTACTCAGCGGGTGCTCGGTAACTATGCGCACCCTGACCTTTCCCTTGTTCTCTTCTGCATCAGCACCCGTCCTTACCACTCTGTGAGGTGCATGTCTTTGGCCACACTCAGCATCACTCTGCCCATATCTCTCCTGAGCCGACAAAGGATTATTTTTATCAGGGACCTGCTCAGAAATAACCAGCCTGCATTAGTCTAGCTTCTCCAGAGAAGCAGAACCAACAAGAGATAGATAGATGGAGGAACAGATCATAGTATTTCCAACTAGCATTGACATATTTATGTGCATGCAATATATAGAGAGGTGGGGGGAGATCTTTTGAAAAGAATTGGCTCTCACATGGTGATGGAGGAGGCTGAGAAGTCCCAAGCCCTGTCCCCTGCCGGCTGGGGACCCAGGAGAGTTGAGCCGGTGGTGGGGTTCCAGTCTGAGCTCGAGTGTGCAGGCAGGAGAACACTGGTGTCCCAGCCGGAAGGCAGTCAGAGAGAGGACATTCTCTCACTCAGAGTCCTAGCTGGTCAGCTGATGCCCACCCACATCGGGAGGGCCACTCCGCACTCAGCCTGCCCACCTGCTGCCCCAAAAGAGGCGCTGCCCTGTCCTGTGCAGCCCTGTTCCCTGCTCACGGCATCCAGCATAGTGGGTTCTGCACTCTGCTGGCTCTCCTGTGATGTCAGCATTCCCAGCCTGCACCCCAGCCAGGAGGCCTGGCTGCAGAAGCTGCCCTCAGTCATGTGTCCGTCTGCTTCAAGCCTCTGTGTCATGTTCTTCTGTGAGGAGCTGAGGAGAGAGCTGCCGACCCTCCTGCAGGACAGGGGACCCAGACCCAGGACAGGGCTCTGTGCCCAGAAGGAGCCGACGTTAAAGCCAAATAGAACTTTCTTGAAGGTAGACTCCAGTGACCTATAGATGTAGGACCTCAGACAGCCCCTGAGTCTCTGGGAACCATGACCTTAGCGTTGACACTGGACCCAGCAGATAGGAACAAGGGAGTGGAAAGCAGGGGACCAGCCAGCCCGGGGCCGGGGATGGGTTGGTGACGTATCTGCATTACCTCATGCACAGGGATGGCTTCAGGGCTTGGACATGGGATTGGAAAGGAGTGGACAGCAGGGACTCCCAGCTCCCTCTTCATCCCCACGGCCACACAATGACTGTGCATCATTAGTGGATCCCACCTGCTTCCCTGGACCAGCCCCGACCCCCCGCTGCAGGCCCAGCCTGGCTCCAGACTCCCCGTTCATCACATCTCCACTACTCCCTCGGCTGGGTCTTCCTCCTCACTCCCTGCACGTGCTGCCCCGGAGCCTCCCCAGGAGATCTACCTGAAAGTCTCCAGCTTGGACCGTTTTCCATGTAATGTGGCATAGGACATTAGGGAGTATCAGAGGTCCTAGATCAATTCAAAGCATTTTTGACACATATTCCAAGATGGGGCTTTTACTGGGTCCACAGGAGCCTATGAGGATGATTATGATACAGTGTCTGCCATCTGATGCCTTGTTCAGCTGCCACCACCTCTGAGAAGTGGTGGTGGCACTCTCTGATTTCCTAGCCTTCATTCTGTCTCAGTGTGGATCCGTGTGGCTGGGGATAGAGGCCAGCTCACTCAGCATCCCATTCCCAGCCCCAGCAATGTGCAGGTCTGCCCTTGGAGACTGTTCAGAGCCCTAGACTTGGGGCACACTCGGGCAGGGCACACTGACTCGGTGGCATCTGAGAGGCTGAGCATGACCCCGCCAGGTCCCTGCCCTTGAGGCGGTGTGACATGGGAGAGAGAAGATTATGGTCTCAGACACCTGATGTGCCCCTCAGGGCCCTGTGACTTGGCGGAGTTTGATTCACCCTTGGAAGCTCATTTTCTCAAAATGAGAATGGGGTAATACCTGCTTTTAGAAAGGATCTCAAGAGTTAATATATATAAAGACAGTACAAAAATAGACCCATAGCAGGCACATGATACAGTATAGCCCCCCCCCATTTCTTTTCTTGGCTATTTTTGGGGATGTGTGTCAAAGAAGACATCCCTGTCTTTTACAAGAGTCAGATAAAATAGCTTATTTGTGGGTGCTCAGCAGTGAACTTGCTCATGGAGCTTAGCTCAATGGGTTATTTTCAGGACCTGATTCTTTTCCTGTGTATTTTCCACTTGGGTCCCATCCAATTATGGCACGCTCAGTGCTGTGCACCCACCCCATGCCTTCCCACCAGGCAAGGGCTGCCGAGCAGAGAATAAAATCCACTCCCCCTTCCTCCCCTAGGAGCTGTGCCTCCAAATCCCCAAGAAGCCCAGTGCATTAGCAAATAACATGGGGATCCACGCAGACTGCAGCATCAGCTGGAAGGATTAGACACCAGGTGTTCCCTTCAAAATAAGCCTTTCTGTGCAAAGACATTTGCAGAAACTAGAGTTCAGCAGCAAAAGGTGCTGACCGCAGGAAAAATCGTGGGAGGGCAGGGTCCCTTTCTCATCAGCCGGGCCCCTCCCTCCCTGTGTGCAGCCCGCTCTTTCCTGCTGCACCCAGGCGGCTGGAGCCTCAGATTTAGAGTTGGAGCGCGCATCCCCTCCCCATTGCAAGCCAGCAGCTTTGCCCTACGGGAATTATTTTCCCCCCTCTGATCTTCGGCTTATCTGTCAAAAAGGGACACTAATGCCTGCCTTGCAGGGTTGCTGAGAAGATTAAATGAAATAAGCATATTAAAGCCTGGAGTGTAGAGCCTGGAACAAAGTGCTCAGTAAAGCCCTCTGTTGGATTATTTTTCTTTTCTTTTTTGGATTATTTTTCTTTTAGTTTACTCACATAATTAAATTGAATGTTACTCCAAAAGCCCCCATGTGGTCTTGTGGGTAGGGCATTGAAGGAAGGGTCTTAGGTGTGGTTTTGTTCTTGGTTTTCAGCACTAACCTGCTGTGTGACCTTGGGTCAGACGTTTGCCCTCTATGGGTCTCAGTTTCCCCGTGTGTATAAAGAGGATTGGATGAGATCGTGCTGGGGCCTCCCCTCAGTCCTTCTCTGCTATTTTCCCTGTGATATCCCTGTCACTGCCTGATGCAACCAGGGGCATTTGATACATGCTTGATTTATTAGTCCAGATTCTCCAGAGAAACAGAACCAGGAGGGTGTGTGTATGTATACACAGACACACTCACACGCACACAGATATATTCTAAGGGATTGTTTTGTGTGATTATGGAGGCTGGCAAGTCCAAAATCATCAGGTTAGTCCAGCAGGCTGGAGACCCAAGCACCAGTTGCAGTTCGAGCCCAGAGGCAGTCTGACCCAATGACCAGATGCTTTCTTCTTGGTGGCGGGAGGGGGGGGCGGTCAGTCTTTCTATGAAGATCTTCAGCTGATTGGGTGAGGCCCACCCACATTATGGAGGATAATCTGCTTTCCTCAGAGTCTGATGATTTAAATGCTAATCTCTTCTAAAACATAACTTTACAGAAACACCTAGAATAGTGCTTGACTGAGGAGCTGGGTATTGTGGCCTGGCAAAATGGACACATGAAATCTGCTATCACACTTAGTGAATGTTCAGGTTCTGGCAAGCTCTCATTGAAGATCAGGAATCCAAATCCAAATCCAAATCCAAATCCAAATAATCCCTTTTTCCCTCCAGGTACAGCCCCTGGGCTGCGGCCCCCCCCCCCCCCACAACCCCGGAAACCTTGCATTTTTTCCCCCCCCTGGGGGCAGGATGGCAGCGCCTGGTGGAGAAGCACAGGCTTTAGGACTCTCTGTCCTCAGAGCTCGGCCTCCATGGGCAGGGACATGACTGCGCCATGTGTTCATCTGCATCGGTCATGTTTTTAGCCCCTACTATGTGCTAGCACCTATGTGCTGCAGGGCTAACATGAATGCGCCTCGGTCTCTCCCTCAGTGGGTCCTGGGGCCTAGTGAACCAGACAAAGCAGTAATTGAAGGTTTAAAATTCTGCGCTAGTATGTAAAGTGAGACGCCAGTCATTTTACATTGAATGTTTGAACACCTGCTCTGTTAAGCCCTGGATGCACAAGGGCTCCATGTATCTCCTCGACCTTGTATTTCCTTTTACAGATGAGGAACCTGGGACAGAGGTTAAGTTCTAGCTCTGCAGTCACACAGCTGGGCAGCCTCTTGCCCTCTCTCCACCTGGTCTTTAGCCATAAGGAGGTTAATGGTTAAGCAAAGAAGGGGCAGGGACTCCCGCTCTGCAAGGCTGGGCATGGTTCTGCTTTGTCTGCCTCCGTGTGCAGGGCGCAGCACATGTGCTCGGGAGGCCTTTGTTGAAGGAACAGGTCAGAAACTGTGGAATCTGAGAACATCTGAATACGAGAGAACCAACGCCCCTGCAAGTAGACTGTTAGATATTTCACTTTCCAGTCGATGTGTTCTAGCAGGCAGTGTGAGCCTCCCAGATCCTTGCCTCACCCGTGGAAATCACAGAAGCCGTGCAGAGCAGATGAATGTGTCTGAGATGAATGTATCGGCCACCAAGGTGAAACCCCTCCATCCTCAGCATGACTTAGGACATGCTTTCCAGACCCAGGAGCATGTCATTGAGAGAATATTCTAGATTGCGGCTCTGGAGCCACTTCCCCTTTAAGTCGGATTACAG